TCAAATAGAGAGTCCTCTAGGAACTACTGTGTGAACACACAGCTGTTGGGGGAACGCTGCCAGTCCGCTCTCTTCTCAGCGTGTTGCATTCAGACACACCACACACTGCTGTGTTCATTGATGATTATGTTAAATGCCACATTCCTGGGGAAGGAAGGATCTGCTCAGCCACCACTAGTTTGTTCATTATTTATATACAATTAAAGGGCATGGCTCAGATGAATGCAAGCATCTGAGAAAAGTCATTATTCATGTACAGATCAAATTGAACATTTGTCATTTCTCTAGTGATTTAACATACTCTTTGTGCCTTGGGACCTCAAATTATATTAAGCAGAGTAGATGCTTTAATTCTTTTTAGTTTAATTGTTGGCCTTTATCCACTTGCTCAGATTACTTGGACTTGTTTAAAATTAGCCCTTGCTTCCCCTTAAAAAAGGAAGAAAATTTCTTTTTAGGACCTATTATGCACTAAGGATGAATGCAAATTGTTCTATGATTCTTAATGACCCACTATTAACATAGTAGAAAACCCAGTACATTAATGCAGTACCTCTTTTCACATCGTTACTCCTAATGGAACTGTTACCAGGATAATAGCTTGACCTTTGGCTATAGAATCAGATAGAAAAATATATTCTGCTTACTCAGTACCTCTATTCACATAGCATATTGAGCATTTTCAGGTCAATACAATCACAATATTTTTTCCTAAGGCCACATCTGTACTTGCAACAGAATAGGATTTCGTCTTCAGCAGGTAGATTCTAGTTGAAAGTCACTTCTAAGTGTGAATGTAATCCATGAAATAGAATGTCAGGGATAGACCCAGTAGAAGTATCTGTATCAGTATTTTTCGAGAAGCCTAATGCTATGCCTTCAATGGTCTCAGACACAGACACTAGAGACAGAGACTTCCTGGCTTCTTTTTATTGAAACTGGATTGGTTTTAACTGAAAAGAAGAAAAATAACCAGAAATTGTTGCCTTTTTAGTGAGTGACAGAATACCTGAGCCCAAGATTAGATTCAAAAGTCTGTTTGGAAGCTCCTCACAGAGTGGGAGGAACATTCCAGAACCTTCCCTGGTTCTCCTAAACTTGGTCATTGATACACTTAGTGGCTTGGAGTCATTTTGATGTGGGCATAACCCAAATCTATTTTGTTAACTTGGAGCCACTACTTTCTAGTGGGTGCTAATTTGGACACCTGTATTTCACAATCTAAGAAAGGAGGGGTTGCTATGGAAATTAATTATATAAATAATATTGCAAGAAGGGAGATGTTTATCTGTTGAGACGGTATATTCAATCCTTTTGGTGGTACACATTTTATACAAACTAATAGGGCGCTAAATACAAATATTTGTTATATTCATTGAAACAGGACTTTGAGACCTTTTGGCAATTCTCTGATAAGTAAATGTTATTGTGGGCATTTGAAGGTAATAAAACCTTGTTTCTTTAACTATATTCTATTAATTAAGACTTTCTACTAATTCAGATTGGCCTTTCCCCCAAATTATCCTACATTTGTGAGCTGTTGTATTCACTTCCATTAGAAACAAAATTAGAAAATGTGTTTGTTTCTCATCTAATGGTAATTAAGTTCTTACTCAAGTACAAGGTACTGTCGTAGATGCTTTGAGGGGGGAAAAAATAAACAAAACCCCTGAGATGTCTATAATCTGGTGTGGGAGATTCAAACGCACGCCCCACCCCTGGAGGCATTGCTCCCGCTGCATGTCTCCCAAGTGGAGACTGCTTACTCGTCCATTGCACATATCATATACTGGGCGGCCTGGTTGATATTTTCCCCAGTCCTTAATTCTGCTTCCCAGCCATCACTCTTCCTCTACTCAGCTGGGCTGGGTCCTTTCCACTAAGGACCTTACACAGCTACACGTCTTCCTCTTGCTGCCCTGTCGTGCTGTGATCTCGGATAACTTCACTGTCCACCTGAAAGATCCATCTGGCGCCCCAGCCACATAGTATCCAGACCTCATGCACAGGCACGTTCACCTCTATTCCGCTTCAGCCCCACCCCTGAGCACACCTTAGCACCCTCACCCCCAGCTGCTCCGCTGCCACCATTCATGCTCCAGCACCACACTCCCGATTGCCCTTACTCCTGGCAGCTCCTTGCCAACCCGCTTGACATTTCCATTCCCTGGTCTCTACAGATTTTCCAAGTCTGTGAGCCTTTTTCTGGCTTCACTTCCTTCCCAGATTTGGGTGGGAAAGGGGAGTAAGGAAAGTTGAAGTCATTCATTACAGGCGGCACCTTCACCAACATCTTCAAATGCTTTGTATCCCTGTCCTTCTGCCAAAACTGTCCAGCGAGACTCTGACCAAGAGCAGCCCTGCATTCAGTGTCTCCACTCCCAAGGAGGGGCTGCCAGGTGCCCTGGGAGAAACAGCCTGCCCCTACGGCTTGTCGTCCTCGCATGGTGTCCTCGCACCCTCAGTCCTGCTTTCCCCCTCCTGCTCTTCTCAGAGGCAACCCCAGACTTTCCCACACTCCCCATTCCCCTCCCCGGGCGTTCAGGGAGGTCTCCGGAGTGATTACTCCAACCTGTAACCACTTCCCCACCGGCCCCCATCTTCCCTTCCTCGGGTCAGGGAAGAAGCTCCTCCATCTGAGGACGACGCTTCCATTTCTGTCCTGACCCATCACCCCACAGTTCCTCTGGGGCGGTTCATTTGGTTGTGGCCTTTTTTCTGGATCCTGTCTTCCCCGCAACATTGCTGCCTCCCTCAGCCTGTGAATGTGCTCGGGTTTCCTGTCCCTCGGCCCTCCTCCCCCTGCAGCCCTTTTCTTCCTTTTCCCTCTGAACCCAGATTTTTTAGTGTCATCTGTGGCCATCCCCACCACTCCTCGATGACCTTCAGTGGACACCTCCCAAGCCTCCCTTCCTGGCCCGTCCTCTGCTCTCAGGCTGGGGGTCCTCTGGCAGCACCACTCGCTGGCCTTCACAGAACCCCTCCTGGGCCCCCCGACTGCCCATCCTGGGCTCCTTCAGGCACTCCTGCGCCTCCATCGCCATTCAAACCGCTGGCTCTGCTTGGCCCAGAGCTCTGTTCACTCGACACATTGTCCCTGGTCAATGGTTTTTCTCTCATTTTAACTACCACTTGCATGTGCCTCTCAAACTGGTATCAGCCTGTCAGCTTCTATACAGAGATACCTTCAGTCATTTCCACATGGGTGCTGCACAGATACCCCAGACCCGGCATGTCCCAAACCAAGCCGAGTACACCTGCCGCGCCCCTCACAAAACTCTCCTTTCTTCTAGTTGCCAGGTCATGTGACTGAGCAGAAATGCCCATCTGGATACGGTTCTGGTCACCCCTCTGTCTTCACTAGCATGGCCCAAACCCAGACCACTGCAGCAGCCTCCTCACAGGGACCCTGCTCTCGTTCCCCAGACCCATCCTCCCCACTGCTGCTGGGCATCTCCTCCCGCACAACTGGGTTCTTTACATTTGTGTGTGGATTTTTTCCCTTCTTTCAAGTATTTTCCTTCGGATAAATTTCTAGGAGTAAGATTTCCAACCCAAAGGTGTAAGTTTTATGCCTCTCATTATGGGTTACCATCTTATTTCCCAAAAGGGTTTTGCCAGCTTATGCCAACAGTAATGTTTGAATGTGACAGGTCCCCCACAATTTTATCAAGATTAAGTATTAGCTTTTTAACATTGTTCTTTTAATTAAGTAGATATATAGTGTGTTTTGCAACTTGGGGGCTTGCATATTTGTTGAACATTTTTCCTAATGTTTTTTGATAAATACACTTTGTTATCTACAGAGACTTTTGAAGTTGCTCTTTTATTTGAGTGAGTGCTTTATATGGTGGTGGATATTGAACCTTTTCAGTCACATTTAGTGCAATTAGCTTTTCTCACCTTAGTGAATGTTTATTTTCCATTCAATAGAAGTTTTATAGCTTTACATAGTAGTTGAATCTGTCAGCATTTTCCTTTGTCATTTCTTTTTAAAAGAAGCCTTTAAAACGTTAAAATTACCAATATTTTAAATACCAAGAAGGCAGTATGATGTGATGCATACTTGGTCTTCACCTTACCGAAAGCATGTTGAAAAGCACCCAGGAATGGCACGTGAGGCAGCAATCTCAGCACCAGTGCCTGTATGTGTGGTCACACACTGTGTGGCCTCCCTTTGGTTCTGTCCTATGACTCTCCATAGTTTCTTTTGTGCTTAATAGATAACTCTTTCATAGATGCCAATAGAATATTGCAAGAGGTTGCCTCAAAATAGAATTGGAACTTTCATTAAGGTACTGCATTCTGCCCAGCTAGTGTGGCTCAGTAGGTTAAGCATCGGCCCGTGTGCCAGGAGCTCACTGGTTCAATTCCCCATCAGGGCACATGCCCTGGTTGCAGGCGCAGTCTCCAGTAGGGGGCATACAGGAGGCAGCCAATCAATGTTTCTCTCTCATCAATGTTTCTCTCTCTTTCCCTCTCCCTTCCTCTTTCTGAAATCAATAAAGACATACATTTTTTTAAAAAGATAGAACTGCATTCTGTTTATTCTGAGAATGGATTGAGTTAGTAGGAATCACTATGCAAACATCATCTTTTTTGTGTAATTTTGCATAAGATTTTGAATTAATAAAAAGTGAAATATTTTAATACATTGCTGAATTTTGTCCTGAGACTAGAGGATCCATAGGAAACATGTTTTTCCTCTGTTCATAAGACATATATACATGGACATGGAACAAGTAGAAAAGGCCCTTTCCGTAAAAACTACTAAATATTTATAGCTGTTTTCATTTTGAAGCCCAATACATTTTATATAGTCAGGGCCCTGCCGCACTCCACCTTCACCAAAGGACTGTAATATGGATAGTGAAGCTACCTGCTGCAGAGCCGATGTCTTTTAGCAATGTGCTCTTTTTTCTTCTTGGGATATGTTCCTGTTTTGGGTCTGTCTGTTTTATTCGTTGAAGCATTTAACAATATTTTACATTTTCTTTCAGTCTTCACTGAAAAGTACTGTACTGCTAATCACGTGGATAAACTTCCTGGCCCGAGAGACTGGGTACAGATTCTACAGGATCAAATTAAGCTGGCCAGAAGAAGGTTAAAAAGAGGCTCAGGTATGGATAAGCTGCAAGAAAATAATCGCAGGAGCCCCTTACTGAATTCTCAGGCATGGCAAAGGACAGGCTTTGCTCCCGGGTGCTCTGTCGCCTGTCTTTTCAAGGAGATGCACTATATAATGTGCTGTGGTTTTGTATTTCAAAGTCTTATCCAAATGAATTTTGAAATTCACCTGAAGATTAAATAGTGAGAATATGTCAGGCCATTCGCTTTGAATAGTACAAAGGGGAAGGCTTGTTAACCTCATCTGTGGGCTTACGTGTCATGGATGAAAGTGGGTCTCTCTGTTGTGTTTTGCTTCCATTGCCTATTGATTTTTGTTTGTTTGGATCTGCCTGACATTATAAAATGTACTGTTAGTTTAAGGTCAAAAATAATAGTGATCATTTCACCTGAAACACCACATGAAATAGAAGGAGATTTTAAGTCAAATATATATTTATTTAAATTTTTTTTTTAAATCTGGGCTTGGTGATTCTGGGATTTCTTCCAGGAAAAGTGAACACTAGTTGAATTACGACTGTTTATTCATTTGAAGTCTCAGCCTCCCCAGTGACAGTGAGGAGCCCCTTTGAGGTCAGTTTTTTTGCCATCATGTAAAAATAATTATCTCCAGGAGCTCACAAACCTCTAGATATTATTATTTTTTTTTAATCCTGATCAAACTTAGGATGCCTGGCCTGCTCAGAGCCTTCTGTGCTTCTGTGGCTAGAATGTGAGAGTCTGGGAGGGAGACGGACCTTATGTGCCGAGATGCCGCAGGCTTGGATGTCGTGGGGTCCATGAGAGCAGCAGTGCAGAATCACGAGGCTGTGCCACTAACAGATCCCTTTATTTATGTGGACTCACAATGAGTACTAGGCACTGTGACGGAGCCTGTGGAGGAGCACAGCTGATGGCTTCGGGGAGAGCTCCTGGCATATAGGCTGGGAAGGCAAGGTTGCATCAACAAGACACATGGGCATCAAGGGACCAAGCGGTTTTCTGCGTGAAAACCCTTACAACTCTTTTCTCTAGAAATAGCTATCAGGGCTCTAAACTGTTCAGCTATAGGCTCACCTATGTAGGCTCTACCTGAGCATCCTCTGACCTACCAATGATAGAGTTATGTAAGTAATTTACAAAGCTCTAGGTCCCAAGGTCATGTCCAAAAAAGAAAATATTTAGCTGTAGATGATTTTTTTTAAATATATATCTTTTATTGACTTCAGAGAGAGGAAGGGAGAGGGAGAGAGATAGAAACATCAATAATGAGAGAGTCATTGATTGGCTGCCTCCTGCAAGGTCCCCACTGAGGATTGAGTCCACAACCTGAGCATGTGCCCTGACCGAGACTCGAATCAAGATCTCCTGGATTATAAGTCAACACTCAACCACTGAGCCACACCAGCCGGGCTGTAGCTGATTTTTTCTTAAAAATCTTCTCGTCTTTTTTAACCTTTTGCTTTCTTTTATACTTAATGGATGCTCTTTTTATAAAGAGCAACAGACTAGTATTTTTCATTGGTAAAAAATGTATTATCAAATCAAGTAATAAGTCATAATGGGGTCAGAAGATCTGGTTTTCAGGTGTTACATCTGCTCTTTACCAGCTCTGGGCCTTGGGCACGTCACCCCATCTTTCTAATCCTCAGTGTCCTTCTCATGAAGTGGACATAAAAATAAAGCCTGCCTCAGAGTTGGGAGGCTACAGACACATGTTGTACACGAATATCTTTATGTATGAAGCTAGTGTATCCTCTCTGAGGATGTCTGTGCCGTACACAGCAGTGCCTGGCGGCGGTGGAGGTCGCTGAGGAAGTCATAACCCCGTGGGCCCCTCATATCCTAGTCAGGGGGACACCAGCCTGGCTGTGCCTGGGCAGTTTCGCTTTCCCACTGCCGTCCCGGCGTAATTATTAATAATTATTAACACCTTTCACTCTCAAAGGTGTTCAGACTTGGATAAATGAGCTGGTCATCCTCTCGGGTCTCAATGTTCACTGCCTCCTCCTTCATTACAAGTCACCGCAAGTGAACACAGCATGATACAGCAGAAAGAACAGGTCTGAATTCCTAGCTCTGAGCTGCCACTTACGAATTCCTGGGACTTTTGGACAAATTATTCACCCTCTAGCAGCCTTGCATTCTTCATTTATTTAAAGAGACTAACAGCTACTTCAGGGGTGTTTTGAGAGTTAGAGTTAGACAATGTTATTGCCCCTAACAGAGAACTGACACATAATGATGCTTAAAAAATGTCCATGACCTCGTCCTTCCCTTTGCCCACCAGAAGCAAAACAGCTCCTTTACCCTCGCCGCTTCATAAAAACACTACCTTCTCCTTCTCCTAACCGTTGGTCAGAATTCTTCCAGAAGGGTTTGCATCCGAGGGCTCCCCACCCCAGCTCACTTGAGAATCCATTGCCCTTTGCCCTCTGCCCTCCTCCTCTGCGTGAGCTCTTGCTGGACTCACACCCGATGATCAGAGTTCGCTTTCTATTTATGTTAACACTCTGACTTGACCTCCATGTTGATTTCACTCTGCCGAATCTCATCCTTCTTAAAACTCTCTTCCCTTGGGTTCTATGACTTCATTCTCTTTGTTTCTCCTCCAAAAGTTCTGGCAATGCCTTGGGTCTCCGCTGCCTCTCCTCCGCCTGTCTCCTAACCCAGCATTCCCAAGTTTCCGTCCTTGCTGCTGCTCTCATCTAAGTCCCCCTGACTTGAACTGTCCCATCATCAGTGGCTCTCAGCTGTGCAGCCCCAGACCTGGCCCTGGCCCGAGACCCTAGACTTCTTTCTCTGTGCCTCAGCTAATGAAATCTGGTCTTGCCCGCCCCAACAAAACACTTCTGCTAGCTCCCTGTCACTCCCAGAGTAAAATCTCCTTCTACCTACAACCCCCTCCCCCCTCCCCCGCCCTCAGTGTGGCAAAGGTTCTTCACAGCCCCTTCACCATCCTTAGCTCCTGCACCCTCTCCCTGTTCTGAAATATGTTTTCAAACTTTCCCTCTGCCTGGAAAACTGGGCCTCCTCCGAGCGTAGCACCAAGGTGCTTTCTCCTGGAGCCTTCATAGGCAGTGCAGCACGTTAGTCTGCCACCTGAATAGTGACCCACCTGTTTGCTCCAATGACCATGAGAGCCATAGGAGCAGAGATGGCATCTCAGTCATGTTTCTATCCCAAGTATCTAGAACAGTGTGTGGCACAGCATGGAACCAACAAATGAACCAGCCAATCAGTCAGTGGTAAAGAATGGACAATCGTCCACAACAAAAAGGTCTTATTGTTTAGCTCGTCTAGGTCATGTGAGATCCTAGAGAATGTTCTTCATCAGTTTCTTCCTTGAGGTTCAAATACTTACCCCAAAACCACAGGGCAGCAATGTCCCTGAGCTCTGCCCTCAGGAACAAGGTCCTTAGGGTATGCCAAGGCCACTCACCTGGCCAGCCCAGAGCGCCCCTTCTTCCTCCTCAAGCGCTTTCTCTTATTTCCTTCTCTGTACCCCCATCTTTCTCTCATTTCCATCTCTGCACCTCCACGTCCCAATTTCCTATCTTCTCCCTTCCTCCCCCAAAGGTTAAGTCTTGAGTCATGGTGCCTGACCTCATTCCGGGGAGGTTAACTGAGTAACAGACCAAGATTCACTTCTGCCAGCAGAGTCTCTTATCCCTTCTTATGCTAAAGGTCTCCTGCCTCAGCCTTGAGCCACTTCACAAAGCCCCTTTAGATTTCAGGCTCCAGGAAAGGATTGGAGTGAAAAAATGCTTTGCAGTGAATGACAAGTGTTATCAAAGACAATTGCCCAGTTGTTTTATGCAGTAATGTTTAAGCACTGATACCACGTTGGGTGCTGTGTCTCTTCAATTCTATATCCCAAATCAGATTTCAAGTATGAAGGCTGAGTGGTGTGCTTGCTAGAATTAAGTTGGTCTTGCGTTGTCTAAATTCTGCCTTGGCAATCTTGACTGTTGGGTATGTGAGAACTTCCGTATATCTATCGATTTGCAGGGGAAATTGTTGACACACACACCCCCCCCCAACGAAAAAGGACACCAAATATAACATTCAGGTTTGAAAGAGATATAAAGTTTGTCATATTGAAGAGACCTAAATTTAATACTCAGCCCAAAGGAAAGTCAAAGGGCCAAATTAGCAAGAACCAGCTATCCTTTGGTTCTCCACACTCTGCCCCAACTGTACCAACTTCTAGCCTGAGGTAGGCTAGCACATTCCTCCGCTCAAGCCACAGAAGCGTGCCGGTGCCTTCCTGTTTCACAGGGGCAGGTAGGAGTAAATGGAAAACGGGAGAAATACTTGGAGCTCCTTGGGAGCTTGAGGAAAAGAGCTATAAATCCAGAATGCTGATGTTACTAATTTAGGTACTGCAGAGACAACCCAGAGAAAGGGAGGAGAGGGCTTTGTGTTACAGAATATGCGCCCCTAGCTGGAGGTGATTACAAGTCCCTAAAGGACCTGAAACATTGAAGACAAAAGGTGGGGAGACTGTGGAGTATCTACTGAGTGTATGGGGGAGGCCTCTTGTCAGAGACTCAGAAACAACCTTCCTGGCAGTAGGCCACGTGACTGAAATAGGAAGTTCTGTTTAAAGTCTGTTACCCCATACTATATATAGGGTGTCCCCCCAAAAATGTATACACAAACATTTTTATGATAGCTCAATTGATGTTTCTTTCTTTTCAGATTTAATAATTAAATCTGGAATTAATAATTATTCAAAGTGTGTATACATTTTTGGGGACACCCTGTATTTTATACATAAACACACCTTTTTTTCCCTATTTTAGATAATAAGACCAGTTATTATGAGTTCTGATCTCCATTCCTTTCCCCACTTTCCCGCCTCAACAAACATACATGCATGCAGTGGGGACTTTTTTCCACATTCCTATTTCTCTGTCCCACAAACAGACTGACCAGTGAACACGTTTCTTAACCAACTCAGCATTTATATTAGTAAATCACGTGACACAGGTTCATTTCCACACGCCCATGCCTATTTCTACAGAATGGGTTCCAAACCATACACTGCTCACAACACACCCTTCCCTTCCAGGGGGAGCCTCTCAAGTGCTCAGAACATTGTGTGCCCTGCTCCATAGTTCTCATCATATTTTATTTTGGACATTTTTACTTGGACCAGTGGGTTTCAATTATCTGCCTAGATATTTGGAATCAGCACTTTGGCTCTTTTCTGCCTCTCTCGTAGGTTCTAATAGCATCTGAAAAGTGGAAGGTGCTGCCCTGGCTGGGTGGCTCATTTGGTTGGAGCATTGTCCTGTTCACCAAAAGGTTGCAGGTTTGATTCCTGGTCAGGGCACATGCCTAGGTTTCAAGTTCAATCCCTAGTTGGAGGGTAAAGGGGAGGCAACTGATTGATGTTTCTATCTCACATAGATGTTTCTTCCTTTCTCTCCCCCCCCCCACGTCCTCTCTCTCTAAAATCAATTTTTTTAAAAACAAAACCTACAGAACCAACCCTGACACACAGACCAGACCAGAACGACAGCACATCAGCAGTGACCTGCCAAAGAGGTTTTGTCTCCCAATTTTTTCACATCCTGCTACACTTCATTCTCCTCAAGCAACACAAGTGGGACCCCAGCAAATTGAAACTAGAGCCACTTGCATTTCCACTGGCATGCTGATAGGAACTTGGAGGCCTCTCAATAATATTGCTTGCTCGCCTGCTTTTTATCTTGATTATTTTCGGTCTAAATGATAATCCAAACAGTGTCTCATAGATATTCCACAACTTTAACCTTATTTATCATATTTGGCTCAATTCCTGGAATTAAATATAGACTCCACCTGGGCAAGCTAATCAACTCACTGTTTAAGAAAGCCCCAACTGCCCTGGCCGGTGTGCTCAGTGGTCAGAGCATCAACCCAGGTACCGAAGGGTCATGGGTTCGATTCCTGGTCAAGGGCACATACCTGGGTTGCAGGTTCGAACCCTGGCCCCAGTTGGGAGGCAGCCAATTAATGCGTCCCTCTCACATCGATGTTTCTCTTTCTCCCTCCCTCCCCCCTACTCCCTAAAAATCAGTAGAAACAATATCCTCAGGTGAGGATTAACACAACAACAACAAAAGGAAGCTCCCCCACCTCTCAAAAAAGTGCCCCATGCAGGTCTGAAAGATTGTTATACGAATCTAAACAAATTCATTTGGGGCTCTCATTACATGCAATAATTTTTTTTCTATAACTGGAATGATTCCTTTCCTGGTGTGGATTTTTATCATTTTCATTAGGTTATTTCCTCAGAGCTGAAATCACAATTTTGTGTGTGTGTTAGATCTAAGAGTAAAGCTGTCGCTGCTATTAAATTTTTATTGGACTTGCTCAGTCTTTTCCAAATTTCACAATTTGACTGTCATCAGGGAAGAAAGATGGTGAGCCCATTGTTGCAGACAGATGTTATAATTAAATTTAAGTAACACAGTCATGTTCTTCCTCCATGACACTGTGCCCAGTTCATGGAGCTGGCATATACCAACTTATATATTTCTGTTTATATATGTTCTGTTCTTACAAAAGCACATAATTGCATAGGCCTACTTTTTAAAAGTAAGGATGACTTAATTACAAAGGGAAAATCAACTTATACCCAGAACTGATTTTTGTTATAACTAAATGAAAAGCAGTTGTACATGGAAAGGGAGAAAGTTACTGAAGTATAAAAAAAATGAACTAAAACTTGAAGATTGAAAAATTTAGCTCATAATGATACATGCGGTATATGTTTGGACGATTAACAGCAGAGACTAAGAGCCCCGGCATATACCTGAGTCAAATCCTTGGCAGTGTCACTTCCTAGCTAGATCACCTTAGGTAGATTTCTTAACCTCTCTGTCTCAGTTTCCTCATTTGTTAAAATGGACATCATAACAGACCTGCCTTGTGGGATTTTCTACGAGTTGTATGATACAATGTATGTAAAGTGCTCAGTAAATGGAAAGTATCTAATAAAGGGTGGTGGCTAGCATTGCTATTATTGGTACTGCTGGAGAATTTTTAAAATCCTAGACAATGAAAGAACGATCATGTTCATCTACCTATTCAAATCCACACAAACCGATTGGAAGAAAATAATGTCTTCCAAATATAAAAACATGTTTGTTATTTTTTAAATATACAGAATAATTTTAAAAACACAAAGAACAAAATTTTAAATACCTATACTATGTCTCATTCAGAGAAACCTGTTAACATTTTAGTTTGTCCTGTATTTTGTCTATAAATTTATATACAAAATTTTACTCTAACCATATGACTTGAATGCTTTTGTTGTTAAATATTCATCTACAACATAATTTTTAGTGGTTTCTACTCTTTTCCAACCAAAATGGGTCTTGGACAGTCTGTCTCTTCTCGGCGTTCTCTCTTTGTGGTGGATTGAGCAGGTGAGCAGACAGTGGATCTTTCAGAGTCAGTGTTTAGCAGTCTGAGGACAGGATGTGAGAGCGTGGACTAGAGTGGAACTCTTTGAACCCTGATTGTGTTTAAAGCAACACCAATAAAACACAAGAACATAGGATTTGTTTGCTTCCCACCAACTGAGCATTTCAGTGAGATAGAAATGCAGCCCTCATTTGACAAGCCTCAAGTGCACACATGCAGGGCCGGGAGGTGGCTTCAGGCAGGAAACCCCTCCCACTGGGCCACTGCCCCTGGACAGGGAGCCCCGCTGAAACTGCAGGTGGCCGTAATGAAACGTTTTGACCTGTCCTGTAGCATGCTGGAGAGACAGACAAGTGCATCAGTTCTCGGAAAACAGATGGGCACCTGCTTTTATGTAATTAGTGGAAGTTTTTCTGTGACTGAAGGATCTACCTTTGGGAAACTCTTAAGGAGATTGAAACATATCCAGAGATGAGCAAAGGTTTGCATTTTAAAACAGGGATGTGACAGATCTTTTAAAGAAATGCTTATTCCTTCTGATTTTCTTTATGATGGAATTGATGCCAACTTAGATTGACAACTCCAGGATCTGAATTTCCAGTCATCTCCAAAGCAAGATTCATTCTGAACATTTCGTAAGCCCACCTCACAGGAATGTAGACAAGCAAAACTCTACCACAGGAATGCACTGACCTCCATGCATCATATTTAAACAAGTCACCCCAAATTCTGGGTGGATATTGAAGCCTATGTAAATAAGTGACATGCACTGAAATAATCAATGATAGAATAAGCTTCATAAGATATAAAAAAAAAAATAATACAGGAAAATTGATTGTATATCATCTTTAAAATATTTAAATATTGGTACTAAAATCTGTAATGTGAACTGACTGGAGCTGAAAAGGAAAAGAAAAGTGAAAGCCTGGAGATTTTAAACTGTGTGACTGTATTCAGTGAAATGGATGTGCTCCCTGAGACTAATGAGATTTGTGTTTTATGTTTGTAACCAGCAGAGGTAGCTGACGGTGATGAAAGACTGGACGGCGTCTCTCTACCACCAACAGGTAAAACACATTTACATTTTCATCACCCGCTGCAAAATACAGCCCAGGAAAATATTTGCATTGAAAATGTTTTTAGCATTAGAGATGCAGATGTGTGAGCAAAGTGCTTCCGTAACAGACCCAGACTCTAGTAATCAGAGGTGCTCAGTGCCCTATGTTCAGATTTCTCACAGTGAAGCTGAAAAGCTACATTTTCCTCACACTGTTTCACATTCTTAAAAAGCTCAGAAAAGCAAGTCCTAAAACTTTAGAGTCACAAGATTTTGCCTCCCAAAACCTTTGGGCATTAAAAAATATTTTAACATGATGATGTGACATTTCTTTTTAGAACAGGGATCGCTACTTTTATGATGAAATTCACGTCCCACCTGCCCCAGAGGGCTTTGAGAGGCAGGCAGTCATCACTCTTCACACGATGGGCACCCAATGAATGCTGTGTTTTAACTGTGTGACTGAATAAGCCAGTCCATCTGGCACGGGTGGCACATTACCAGTGTTATAACCAGATCGCCCAAATGCAACATTTCATTGAAGCATCTGCTACAATATTAAGCCATACACATAATTCTGACCACATGATTTAATTCACAAGTGATATACTTCTGACCCTGGCCTCCTGCCTCTGCATCAGTTCATACCTGAGAGCCGGAAGGACAGGTGTCTGATCACTGTGTCATGTGGCAGACAATTTATTCCCTCAGTTGACCTCAGGACTCTTTATTGACTGCCCTCAAAAGAATACCTGAAGATTTTCTGCCTACAAAACCCAGATACCCAAAAAACTCTCTAAGTGAAAAAGTTCAACGCAGTGTTTTCTCCTCTAGATTTTGGCTCGTAAGTTTTAAATGGAAATCAGCAAATGTGAATGGAGCAGCTAGTCTGTGTAAGCAGTCTACTCGGTCATGTGCTCATTGGTAGCACTTACCCTGAGATGGCAATCAAAGCAGAGTTCACAGGTATAGGACAGATGTATGTTAGTGAACTTCAGAGCAGCGAGAAAGCTCAACCATGTAAATGATATAGTGCTTTCTGTCATTAAGTAGCTAAGCAACAGATCACTGGACAAATAAAAAAGGACCTTCTTATATCAAGGTTTACCATTTAGTCATTATATAAAAGGGATTTCTCTTCTTGTTTGACTATATTTCCACATTTATGAATCAAGAGAATTGAAATACATGATCTCTACTGTTCCTTCCCATCTGTCCTCCAAATATCAGGACAACTCCTATTAGCTGTGTGCTTATCGCCCCTGGCCCATTCCCAGTAGGCTCACAAAATACAACTGATAGTAATGAAATTGTACAGTTCAGGAGGCCCATTGGAGGAATGCCATGCTGCTCTGGTTGTGCTGTCCAAGGTTCCTCTCCCTGCAGCCCATTTGCACTGCCTACCTGTCATCTGACACAGTGGGCTTTTAAAAATTATTACTTGAAAACCATTCCCCTTTGCATTTTCCTTTGTGAAGATGGAGCAGAGAGATGTTTCAGATGAGAAAATTGAACATAGGATGGTCGAACCATTTCATGAAACTGAAAAGTATTTCAAGGAATCTGAGAACGAAGGAACATTAGAGATCATCTAGTCCCATACCTTCTTTTTATCCAGTCCTTTTATTTTACAGGTAAAAAAGCCTGAGGCCCAGAAACACTAAATGACTTTCTCAAGGTCTCACAGCTGGTTGATGGCCTGGCCAGAGCCCAGGCCTCTCGACTCCCCGCCATTACACCGAATAGCTTTCTTACACCTAAGCCAAAGCCAGCTTTTCTCTGCATGTTTCTTAAAGATCCCGAGTTGTTGGGTGTACTAATCCCTTTAGGATTCCATCTCAGTGTCTCACAGTCTCCACAATTAAAATGTCCATCGTAAGTCCCCCGAAGTCCGAAGCAGTGTCAAACCCATGGAACTCTTTCTGGAATGTTGCCTGAGGCTGTGAGGTCATAATGAAGACAGGAGTAGAACGGCCCTGCAGGTCTTTTCACTAGACTTGATGGATATTTAACACAAACTACTAAACAGCATGATAAAAAGTATATATACTCTTTACCATTTAGAAAAGGAGAAAAAGAATTCCCATATTGGTGTCCAAAATTTCCAGTAATGAAATTAAATAATCTTGATTAGAGTAGCCTGTCTCTTGATTGCCACCGAAGTAAAACCCCAGTCTGGTGGCTTCTCTGCACATAAGGCTACTACCAATCCCTCCCTCCTTGGTGCACCCCAGGGAGACCGGCCAGGAGGTGAACTTCACCTTTCTTGTACAGGAGCTTCTTCCTGGGACTTGAGGCTCACTGGCCAGACCTTCTTTGTCGCATTTATCTGAGCTGGCAACAGTTGGGCCTTTTTAAAGATTTAACAACTCTTTTATTAACTTTAGGTCTTTTTTTTCCTTCCAAATTCATGTAGATTGAGGAGGGTGGGGGAGAGGTGTAAATCTATGAACCAGAATCGAGCAGGTCAGGCAGTCAAATGACATTTGTTTCAGTCCATTTCATTGAAGCAAACTTCTGTGTCTAGTCTTACCAAAAATGGATACGGCTTTATAGTGGAAAAACATTTTCTTTTCCCCCAACCCTGTCAGTGAGCATTTTTGAGCAGCTTCCAGGAATCAGCACTGTGTTAGGTTGTAGTGAACAAACAGGGCCCTCAGAGAGCCCCGCCCACTGTGACAGGAGGGGCAGGACACACAGCAGCCTGGTGTGGAGAGAGCTCTCTGATGATGACAAAAACCATCCAGGACTTGGGAACAATTTGTGGTGGGGGGAAAAAAGGTAGAGAGAAAGTAAAATCGTAACAGTGCTTTCTAAAATTTAATAAGGAGGCTTCTGATTTGAAATAGAGTAGTTCAGAGCTCATCTGGGCTTAGCAATCTTTGTCACCAATTGGCATTCCTTTACCTAAGTTGTAAAAATTAAGAAAAGTATAAGGAAGAAAATGTAAATTTTACTACCCAGAGACAATCTTTATTGGGTGTTTTTGCCCCAGACTTTTCTCTATATTTACTTGATTTACCCAATGGAGATCAAATATATAAAATTCTGTTTACTGAGTTATTTTTTAACCTAATAAGCATTTTCCATTTTATTGCAATTTTTCATATACTTTATGTATTTTAATAGCTGTATGGCATTCTATTTTACAAGTAAATCATATTTTATTTGGCCATTTTCTGTTACTGGACAACATATAGGTATACTCTAATAGTGACACACATTCAAGGACTTTCTTGCAAAAATAATCATTACAAATTTCTAATGGCTAAAATTGTTCACTTAGCACAACTAAAGTCTTGGCTAAAAATTTGTTATTTAAACATGAAACACAGACCCCTCAACAAGAGCATTCTTCACATACCCATTCTACCTGTAGCCATGTCATAGGAAAGTGTACAACTCTCCTTCAGAGAAGTGCCCCCTTCATTTTCTTGTCTCTGTTGTAGGTAATATATCTGACACCAGGAGAGAAAACATGGAAGACAGAGAGCCAGATTTCACTGCCTAGACTCTCATTTAGTGGCAGTGTCCATTAGCGTATGCACCTCTTCCCTTTGAATTTCCTCAAAGATCCACATTAGCATTTCCGTTTACTGCAGAGTGTGTGTTCTGTGAAGTTTACCCATCCTGTTTGAGTAGTTTCCATGTACTATCTTTGTCATCTGTGATAAGCAAGCCTCCAACTTGCTATAAGGTTGTTTTTTTTAATCCTCGCCTGAGGATATTTTTTCCATTGCTTTTCCGAGAGAGTGGAAGGGGGAGAGAAAGAAACATCGATGTGAGAGAGACACACCAATTGGTTGCCTCCTGCACGAGCCCCGACCAGGCCAGGGATTGAGCCTGCAACCGAGGTATATGCTCTTGGCCGGAATCTAACCCAGGACCCTTCAGTCCACAGGCCGACACTCTATCCACTAAGCCAAACCAGCTAGGGCGAGTATAAGATTTTTAAAAATTATTCCTAGAGTTGATTTATCACCCTTAAGTCCAATGTCTTGATCCAGTTAGTTCATTGTCCATTAAAAAGCAGCAGCTTTCGTTCCCTGTTTTTTTTTCCCGTAACCTCAATGTGAATATGTGGAGCTTTGAAGCATATTTATTTAACATAAGTTGCTTAGATGCTGTAAAAGGGAGAATGGCACTTCCCAGTACTGAGGGAACAGTTGTTAAGGCCAAACTTAATTAGACCTTCGTCAGCTTAAAAGATAAAAAAGATATTTTGGGAGACAGGATAGCCATGCTCTGTTAAATGAAATCATTTGTGACATCACTTCCCCCAAAATAACCATTTGGAACTGAATAAGGGCAAATGATATATGAATTCTTAGGAAAGAAAAACCTTTCAGGTGGTTTTGTCGACACAGTGACAAAATAACTCATTGAAAGGTGAGAAAGTCAAAGTAAGCAGTTATCTACGTGATACCTACCAACTATTTTGAGAGATGGTTTTAGCTGAGTGAATGGTTCAGTGTTTTGGCAACCAGCAACACATGTATTTCATTAATGTTATGTATTTTATTTGCTTCCTAGTACACTTACACTCCACTTTATATAAATCCAACAAATGAAAATCTGGATTCATTTTAGAGGTACCATGCCATGTGGTTATTTGTTTTACAGAAATATTTAGGTCTGGATTTCTTTCTCTCATAAGATGGTGAATTTAAAATACCATTTTGTTAAGAAACACCGCATTTACACTTCATTTATTGCATAAAGCAAATTACCTTGAATCTTTGGCACTTGACCCAAAGGCCAAAACTTGGCTTGAAAGAAATGTGGACTAGAAGCACCAAACCCCAGGGGAAAAAATTGCTGTGCTACTGTTTAACGCATTTTGGTAGCACTTATTTTATCAAGTGAGAGTGTTAGACCTCAGAGTTACTGTACACACGTCCCTTAGTCCCACCCCCTCGTTTTGCAGGTGAGGCAGCTGAGGAGTGAGGGTCATGGTTGCCCAGGGCAGGTATCCCATCAGTGGCCTGGCCAGGCTTAGCACCTAAATGCCTTACTCCCCTGTCCAAGGTACTTGTGCCACATCACACTGAACAGCTAAGCCTGAGTGAGGAGGGGAGCTCTGGGATGAATCAGTTTTCTATTGAAGCCCAGCCCATTAACCAACGGTGACAGGAAGCTGGTGCTAGGTGTGGCTTGTGGCATCCATCCAACTGCTAGACAGCTACATCTCATGTATGTGTGTCTTTTGTTTGTCTTTTTGAAGCTCCCCAGGAAGGTTCAGAGTGGTTGTTTCCATCACACCCTTAGCCTTTTACGTTGGAGGCCTGCTAGTAACCCCTCCCCTTAACCAGCCCCTCTGCTTGCCACGTGTCTGGTGAGATACTGTGAACCAGGGCTTGTGTTTTTCTGCAACATACATTTTCAAACCATTCTGCTGCCTCTCAGAAGAAAATATTTCTCAAGGGAATTGAAAAGATTAATTAGTGACCTTTCAACTTTATTACAATACGATGACTGTGTTGCTAATAGAGGTAGAAACTTTCATCTTCCCACTGTGGCATCTGTTAAATACACACTATGAACGTTCAGAGCACGTCCTTCCAAGACTGGGCGACAGCTTGGAGTGTTCACCCCTTGAGGAGCAGGGGACTGTTCAGCTCATGAGTATGTGCAATGGATCCCCAAATTGGAAGTACATATCATACAACTGCAAGAGTGAAATCATATTTTGTAAATTCAAATTGTATTTGTGTTTACTTACTGTGACTACTGTTCAGACTTTATTCAGAAATCCTTTCTATAGGCTTTCTTAGCAAAAACAAATTATTCCGTATCTATGAATAATAATGTCTCAATCTTCTGTATATATGTTTTATTAATATGTAAATATTTAGATTTTTTAAAATTACTATGTTCTTTTAAAAAATTCAACACAAGACTAGTTGTGAAAATGGTGTATGACATCGTGTTGTGATATCCATCCCCAAGATGCTCTTTATGTCCATTCTGGAAGAATACAATAAATTACTTTAATTGAAAGTGCCTGTTTCGTGCCCGTGTGCCAGTCCTCCCATGATTATGAAGAGGAGTCAGTGCTAGTCATTAATAAAAGGTATTTATTAATACTCTGGTGATCTTACCCAAGAAGTTTTATCTCCTTCTGAAGGAGATAAATTTTTAATAATAAACTAGATTGCTACCAGAGAGAGCATCTTTGAACGTGGAAAGTCACAGGCTCTGCCTGGCAGCTCGATCAATGGCTGCAGCAAGTCCCCCAGTAACACTTAAGCATTAAGCACTGATATGCTTGAAGCCTAATTTTACATGAATGAGGTAGCTTTATAATCTTCACTTAAAAGGTTAAGCCCTGCTTCTATGGAAACAACACATCAGAAGGACAAATCAATCTTCTCTAATGCAGAGTGGCTGTTAAAACCTAATTGCTTTATTCTCCTCTCTGAACACAGGAGGGCGCTACTCCCTGGGTACCTGCTCCTCCTACATCCACAGGCTTTCCCAGCCCCCCAGCTTAGAGCACCCCCAGGCTGCCGGGAGTGGGGGAGGTGGGAGGTGGGGAGGAACAGCTACCTAAGCAAACGGCTGAATTGCAGAAGAGGAGGCAACAGCGTGACTT